GGGGGGGTGGCCCACACCCGGGTGACATCAAAATGGCTGACAGTCATTTTGGTGTCACCCCCCTCTGAAAAGTCATGAAGTCATGGACCGAGCGCCCGACAGTTTCGGGAGAGAAGAGGGGATCCGGCGGCATAGCTTATCCTGCCAGGTGACTGTCCTCTCTCTGCCGGCGTCCATCACCACGACCAGCAGGTATCAATAAGATCGCCGTGAATGCGCAATGACGTCATCACGCTTGCGCGTGGCGACATCACACGCATGCGATGTGATGTCATGGCGGGGTGTCACCAGGTAACCGCTCTGGGCGACACCCGGCCTCGGGACGCCCCTGTTGCTGAGCTATATTAGTGACATATTAGCAAGCGTGCAGTCAACACCCAGTCTGAATAATTGCAGAGATAAAGTTAATTACAGGAAAAGCTACCTAGAAAACGTACAGTGTTCATATGATTTCACTATATGGCCATGCGTGTGTGGACACTTGACCATCACACCTACCTATATGGTCAATGGTATTTGGACACCCCTCCAAAGGATCAAGTTCAGATGTTTGCAGTGAATAGTGATGTTGATGCTGCATCATACAAGGACATTTTAAACTAGGGATGCCCCGATACTACTTTTTTAAAGACCAAGTACTTTCCCTCAAGCACTTGCCGATACCAATTACCAATACTTTTTCTTAAAAGGAACGTGTGACATTTTTTCTAAAATAACACAGACTGATGATTTTAGGGCAGTTTCTCACTAGGGCTAAATACAGATGTCACCAGAACTGAATACATGTCCCCAAAGCAGAATTCATCTCACCAGGCTATGTGTCGATCTCACCCAGGCGACATGTGGACATCTGCAGTGGTGGGCTCTGTGTGTCCGGACCTGGCCTCCTCCACGTCTGGACCAGCGATGCTGGGCCCCAGCCTCTTCCACCGGCAGACCGTCTGCGCGGCTGGGCCCCCCGACCTCCATCCTTCCCCCTGCCCAGTCCGCCCCTGTCAGTTGGCGGCGGGACCCCCAGCTTCTAGCCCTGGGGTGACCGCTCCTCCGGCGCACCGCCAGTAGTTCCGCCCCTGGGGCTGTCCATGGCTGTTCCTGCGCGGTGAAGGAGGAGATAAAGAGCTGGATATGCACTGCCATGGACAGCTACTTACAGGTCCCCAGCAGGCTGCCGAGATCCCCACAAGCAAGGGAACTCAACAGCCGCTGCATTTTAAAAGTTTAAAGGGCCGGGATCGGCCTTAAGACTGGGCATTTTCACGGGTACAAGTACTCCTTTTAATGCCTGGTATCGCCCCTGACACCGATACTAGTATCTGGACATCCCTATTATAAACCATTGTGCACTTTCAATCTTGTGGCAATAGTTTGGTGAAGGCCCTTGACTATTCCAAGATGAATGTGCCCCTCTGTGCACATAGCCAGCTCCATAAAGAAAATATTTGACCTGTTTGGTGTGGAGCGGCCTGCACAGAGCCCTGACCTCAACCCTATGGAACCCTTTTGGAATGAACTGGAATACTGATTGAGAACTACGTCATAATTCACAATAACACATATCACAATAACGACATGAGTACCTGACCTCACAAACGCTTTTGGATGAAATGTGTTCTAGTCTTACCCTGTGCTTCCAACCTTGTGCCAAGGGGGGTCTTTTTCAGTTCCAGGATGACATTGCCCCTATACACAAAGCCAACTCCATAAAGACATGGTTTGATGTGTTGGCTGTGGTGGACCTTAAGAGTCCTGACCTCAACTCTATTGAGCACCTTTGTGATAAATGGGATTGCTGAAGACAGGTCTTCTCGGCCAACATCAGTACCAGACCTCGCACATGTTATTTTGTTTGAATGGGCACAAATTTCCCAGAGACATTCTGAAGTCTTGTGGAAAGGGAGGGGGACACCATAATAATGTTCATGGTTTTGGAACAGGAGGTCCAACAAATATATGAATATGATGGTAAGGAGTCAACAAACATTTGGCCATACATAGTATGAATAAGGGTTTGAGGGGCCAACTGAACTATAAACCTTTAGATTTTTGGTGACATTCGGCTTCCAATCAGGGAATTTGCAGTGTTAGGGACTTGAGCATGCAAAAGGGGGTGCTAAGAGAGAACAGAGGGGACTACTAGGCAAGAGCAGTGGATAGTTACTGCTTTCTTGTGGCCTAGATGGGTGGGCAAATTTAATAGACTGGATATATCAATGCAGTGAAAGGTTTTCGATTTTCTCTGTGCAAACAGAGCAATCTCTACATCATTCAGAGGTTTTACAACATTAAAAAAATAAAATCTCCCAGTGGGGTAATAAGCACTATCCGGGCTTGGAAGAGTCACTACTCCAGTTAAAGGGCACATATAGTGGGTTTTATATGTAGTTTCTTTATTATGGTCCGGACCAGAACCTATTGTGCATATTTTGGATTTTCATTTCAAGCCAGCAGGTGGAGCTGTCGGCTCCTTTTAACATTTTGCACCAATCTACTGTGATGGTAAAGCAGGAATCCAGGCAGAATTTCCTCTCATGTGTGTCTAGGTGCTAAAAAAAAAAAAAAAGTTATACTCTCCCGAACTGTGGGGCCGGCTGTCAGGTACTTCGGTCCCTGAACCCTGTCTCCTTCTCCTCTGCAGCGGCGGTATGTCTCTTGGCGTCCGTATATCCTATACAAAGTGTATAGAACATGATGACTCCGTGACCTCAGGCGGAATCAGGGGAAAGGGAAAGAGGCTTCAAGAATCAGTCTAAGAGCAAGCCGGCTCCGAGGATAGGGTGAGTATAACTTTTTTTTTTACATCTAAACACAAATGCGCACTTAACCCTTGCAGTGCAGACGAAGCCTCGTTTTGGAGTTCCGCTATAAGAAAAAAAGATTTTAAAAAGCAATATCTCAAGCTGAAAATTTCACCTAAAACTGAATCAGTTATAAAAGCATCAACACCTTCCCCTTCACTGCTTGCTTTGTTCAGGCAGGACATGCAGAAGTCCTATCAGAGAGAGAGCGCCTGGAGGCAAACAGCTTCTATTGTGCGTTCTCATAAGAAAATACATAATGCCCGGTGAGCGTGAAAATATGCGCAGTCCCGTGAATCCTACATCATGGCTGCACCCTGTATTAAAGGTTTATTCAAATGGTTTTATATGAATATTAAAATGATATAAAAACACCAGCTTTAAAAGCTTAGCAAAGCATTTTTATATTTAAAATTTACCCAAAGGGAGTAAAGTTTCCCTTTTGCCACCACACAAACTATTACAAGACTGCTCAGATATGTTGAATCACTCCCTTTTCTGCAGCCAAACAATACTTATAATAAAGTAACAGTTTTTAGTGCAGAAGACAATAGTGCTTTGTAGACTTGAACATTTCCACTGCTGAACAGAGTCTTGGAACTAATTTACTTTCCATTCTATTCACAGCAAAAGGAATACAGCTCATTACTTGCCATCGACCAGCAGGATCCTGCACAAGATAGTAACTGTATCAGCCGGGCGAGCTATCACTGTGGAAATCAGATCGAATGTGATTATGTTAAGGACCTATGTCCCCGTGCCCGGACAGCCTCTTTACCAGACTGTCGTATGCTTGTGTTGGTGAAAGCACTCAAGTTGATTGGGTACACCAGGAAGTAATGTCATTAGCACTGCGCTGCCTATAGGACAGCCATGTACATAGTGGGAACACAGGACCGCATAGGGCAATTCTACCTGCACTAAACGGAACCAGGGCTGTAGCTACCATGAGGCACAGTTGAGAGGAGGCGCAGCCAGGGCCAGCCTAGCTGTGCCCCCCCTCACCCCTGTGCAGCCGGGCAGGGGTGCAGCGGACGGAGCGCTGTCATCCATGATGGCCGAGCGGTGCGGAGAGAGAGAGCCGTTCAGCGGCTCTCTCTCTCCTCACCGCTCAGCCATGCTGAAGTGACAGTGCTCCCTCCTCTTTGTGCAGAGCAAACACTGGAGTGATCTGGTGATCACTCCAATGTTTGTAAACAATTGGGGACACATAGTACTGTGTCCCCAGTTATGAATGAACAGGAAGTGCTTCACATCACTTCCTGTTCATTCATGAGTTTCTGGATAGCCAGAAGCACTCACACATAAGTGGATGGTAGTAAATATTTTACTATCTGCAGTTTCTGAAGGAATGGGAAGCCTCTGTCCCGAGTGCTTTCCATTCATTTAGAACAGAGGCTGCAAAAAAGAAGAAGAAGATTGAGGATGCTGTGTCCTCAATGTCTTTTTCTATTTCAAAAGGGAATGTCAGGGGTCTGTTTAGAGCCCTGATAATTCCCCAAAACCCCCAACAGTAAAATAAAATAAAAAGTAAATAACCTCCCCACACACACACATACAACTCCGAACAGGAGGGGCAAAGCTCTGTGGACATAGAAGCACACAAATCTTACTTATTCTATGGAGGTTTGCCCCTTATGTATGGAGTTGAGCTATCACTTCATCTGCGTCTTTTTAGGAAAGTGTCCCTTGCCCACCCATGACCTGTTCCGGATAGATCCATTATCTAATTCTTTATCCTGTTTTCTGCATCTAAAGTATGGTTGTGTACCATTATTCTATCTTATTATTAATATATATGTTCTTATATATTATATATTCTTTGGTTCTTAGGTATGGACACCCTTTAAAGCAATCATTGTAAATGCTTATGGTACCGAATCCTCCTCGGGTTAAGGTTTATAGACTAAAGCCTAAAAGGTAACCTGAATGGACTTTCCGATGTGGCCCTAAGTTTGTTATGCTTTTTCTGCATGTACGTCAATAAACAGACATATTCTATCTGTTGTTGGTGTGCCGGTGTCCATATTCTTTCCTATTACAGAGACGGTGGCCATACGTTGACTACCGTTGCACCCATTTTATCCTAATGGATGAGCGGTCAGGACTGCAATGGTTACATGGATTGTGACATAATATTTTAGCCAAACCCCCGTCTACAAAATTTCCAATGCAACGAGGACCTGCAAGCAATAACACCATTACCATGTTTTCCACTGTCCGGAGATACTTTGTACAGTGCATGTGTCCGTTGTACTCAGCGAGGTCGGCGGCGGTGTATCCATCATTGTCCTTTATGGCAAGCTTGACTCCATTCACCACAAGGATCTGACAGCACTGAAACAAAAACACAATGCCATAAGTAAGATGTCTGTACTGCAAGGCAAGCTACTAAGCCACATCAAACACAACTCTGAAGGTTAGTGAAGCCCCAGCCAAATTTACCAGCGTCCGCATGTGTCGGTTAACTTGATAGTAACTATTTTACTGGTTTGATTACCTAAACATTTTTATATATTTTTTATTAACATATAATACTTTCAATACAAACCCAAGATTTTTTCTATTATAGGCAGACAAATACACAAGAATTAATTACAAATAAAAATAATGGCACGCCAGATACCCCTGCCGCCCCAAGATCACATTATTTATCTGCAGGGTTTTATTTTTAGACTTTTTGTTTTCATTTTTATGATAATTTTTTTTTTTAATTGGACAGTTACAGCTACAATTGACCATTACAAACAACCATTGTAGTCTTAAGGTTTCCTTTAACCCTTGGGTATATAAAGTGACACTAATCTCAAGAGTTAAGTCTTAAAAATACATTCAAGTACCTTAATTATTAACAAAAATGTATCTTATTTGTGTATCACTCGGCTGTAGATCCTCAAATCATCTCTGAATTGGTGCCGACACTGTCCTTCCTTCTGGAGGGGGGCTACTTCCGTGATGGACTACAATCTCAAGCTCACTCCCGTGATGGACTACAATCTCAGTACAAATTGGTAAACTAAACATGAGATTGTAGTCCATCACAGGAGTGAGCTTAGAGCGGTGTCTACTTTACAACACACACAGGGACCATGGGGAGCAAAAGAAGGAAGGACAGTGTCAGCACCGATTCAGAGATGATTTGAGGCTCTACAGCCGAGTGATACACCAATAAGATAAATTTTTGTTAATAATTAAGGTACTTCAATGTATTTTTAAGATTTAACTCCTGAGTTTAGTGTCACTTTAAGGGTTTGCTATTTCCTTTATAAAGTGTTTTTGATTCATTTCTTATAATTTTGTATTTATAGCATGGTTCATAAGCATTTTTGTCTTCTTTTTTGAGTTTTGTAGCTATAGGGTGGGACCGTTGCTTTGTTTTCTTTAATATATTTGCTTGCAATTTCAACATTTCTCCCATTACTGATGATGGGATAGATCAGCAGAAGACAATGCCAGTATGCACTTCTGTGAATGAATAAAGATTAGAAAAATGCTGCCTGGTCTGAGCGGTCTCGATCACTGCTTTATGATGCAGAAGATGGTCGGTGTGATGCTAATGCCAACTGGTCACCAAAATCACCAAGAGACATTCCCAGCTCCTTGTTGCATCCATACTGGAAATATTTTAAAGGTGTATATATATATATATATTATATATATATATATATATATATATATATGTTTATGGTCTAAAATGAAATCTGTATTTCTATATTGAATTTCCTTAAGCTCTATCCCACTCCTAAAACCCATATCCATCTAGAAGTTTGTAAACTTACTGAGGATGCCCATAGGATGGACTTCCTCAATTTCACTGTGAATATGCCCTTCTTTGGGCCACAACTCTAACAGAGCCTGCCATCTGAACTACAACTCAACGACAAACAATGTGACCTCATCATTGCTTGCTGGAAGCAATGCATGATGGGATATGTAGTCTTAGGAAATCAAGATTACATCACATCAAGCAGCAGGGAAAGAGATGAAAAGCACACTGGGAATTGCGCTTTATTAAGTAAGCATTGATTGCAATATCAAAAACAACTCTAGTATGCATTCCTATTACAATGCTGATATTATAACAGAATAGGATAAGCTGGGACTTTACAACTCCTTTACATAGCTCTAAAAAGAATAAGGGGTCGAATATAATACCAGATATAGAACATATACTTTATATGACCTGTTGTATCTTCTGTATACTATTTCAGGTTCTCATTAGATTAATAGTGAACATCACAACATCGAGTTATCATATCGGTAGCACCTGAGCTGCCTGCGCTTAGCTATCACATCTAAAGGGAAGGACAGATAGAGATAGAGATAGAGATAGAGAGAGAGAGAGAGAGAGAGAGAGAGAGAGAGATAGAGAGAGAGGAGAGGGAAAGAAGAGAGAGAGGAGAGGGAAAGAAGAGAGAGAGGAGAGGGAAAGAAGAGAGAGAGGAGAGGAAAAGAAGAGAGAGAGGAGAGGAAAGAGAGAGAGAGGAGAGGGAAAGAAGAGAGAGAGGAGAGGAAAAGAAGAGAGAGAGGAGAGGAAAGAGAGAGAGAGGAGAGGAAAGAGAGGAGGAGAGGAAAGAGAGGAGGAGAGGGAGGGGAGAGAGAGAAAGAAAGAGAGAGAGAGATGGAGGGGAGAGAGAGAGAGCGAGCGAGAGAGGAGATATTTTTGTAATGCAACTAATCAAAACAATAATCGGGCAACTAATTGATTATGTAAATCTTGCAGTTTGCAGATATAAGGACATCCATTACATAATGAAAGGAATTAAGTTTTAAAGAAGAATTTTAAAAAAAGCACCTCCAATTCTCCATTCTCCGCGGCGTCGTGCAGAGGGGTTCCCCCAAACTTGTCAGTGCTCAAGTCCCCTCCATGGAGGAGCAACCAGCTCAGGACCTTGGCATGGCCCCTGCTGGCAGCAAAGTGCATGGCGGTCGCTCCATCGGCGTCACGTTCACAAAGACTGATATCCGTGAAACTCATCTGGATGAAGCAACAAAACAAGAGTTACTATACAGGACATGTCCTACACAATCTGATTACACCGTGGTTTGTTACTAGAATTCATCTTTATCATATTCTGGAACTGAAGGCAAAGGGACCCAAACCAGCCCACTTGGGACCCTGCAGAGCTCACCATAAAGAGTCTCCATGGGCTGTGCAGGATCTATGGTGGGCTGTGTGGGGTCTCAGGTGGGCTAGTCAGGGTCTCAGGTGGGCTCTGTGGGGCCTCAGGTGGGTCCAGAGTCCAGTGCTTTGCTAAGTCCAGTGCTTTGCTAAGTTCCCAGTCCAGTGCGTTGCTATGTCCAAAGTTTAGTGCTTTGCTAAGTCCAGAGTCCAATTCATATACTGTTCTGCGTTGCTGTATAATATATTGCTGGGATTTGTAGTCCCCCTACAGCTGGTGCCATTCTGCATTAGAGTGTAAGCTCCTCTGTACAGAAACTAATGTGACTGGCTCAGGGTTTTCTGTACAGCACTGTGGTAAATGTCAGAGCTATATAAATGTATAATAATAGTGTGAGACTGTGGGGGACATTAGAGTGTGAGCTCCTCTGGTGCAGAGAACGCTGGGGGAGGTTGGGGGGCCAGTGAGATCCGCTCCCGCCCTCCCCTTGGGAGGGGGGGCCAAAGACAAAATCTTGCACCAGGACCCTTTATTCCTTCCACTGGATTTGTCCCTTGGTGTCCTCCGGTCCTATACACAGTATATAGAACGTGACTCGAGGATCCTTAGACCACTGCAGTGGAGGGGTGCGAGACTGGAAGGACAGGTCTAAAAGCAAGCCAGCTTGGCGGATCGGGCAAGTATAACTTTTTTATTTTAGTCCTTACATGGAAAAAAAAAAAAAAGAGTTAACACTTGCAGTGCAGTTTGCCCAACTGCAAGGGTTAATACAATTATTCCCCAGTGTTGTTCTTAAAAGGTCCTGCCTGCTCTGGAGCTGTATGATTGCACAATGCTGGATTTTGGTCGGCCAGAGAGAAACTTTTGAAATCATTCCCTATTGCAGTTATGGAGCGAGGCAGCCCAGCTGCACCACAAAACATACCATCACCAGCCCGCGCTGTACCCACAACTCCCATACAGAGTATATTTTTTTCATATTCTGGTGCAAAATGATATTTTGGTAGATGGTTCATTATAATAAACCCACCATCAAAGAAATACAGTGGCTACCACTGTTGACTTCCTTCTGAAAAAGCCAGTTCAATGGCTGCCCTGTCGATCTTCTGGTTTCAATAGTGTTGAGTATATTTGGAGCTGCTGAACCAGAACAAGAATGCAAATCAGAAGTTCTCACTTCACTTGCTGCATACCTGTTCAGACACAGCGGTTTAGATTCAGTACTGAAGCCAGTGGAGCGGCATAACAGCCAGCAATAGCAAAAGGATGTCAGCGATGGTAGCGGCATGGTCCGCTAGTGACAGGTTTCCATTAACCTATCACAGCCAGCATTACTTACCAGCCAAACAATGACCGTACTGTGACCCATCTGTGCGGCTGCGTGCAACGGGGTCATTCCATCTACAGCTCGGATATGAGGGTCCGCTCCGCAGTCCTTCAGCAAATACTGTATCACCTCCAAGTGTCCTTCCTGACAGGCTAAGTAGAGGGGTGTGGCACCATTCTTTGTCTGGGAATTTATAGCACTGCAAGAAGAAATAAAAGGAAAACACGATTATTTCCCTATAATAGTGTTACATCCATTCAATAATGAGAAATCAACATTAAAGCAGAACTCCAGCCACAGGATGCCCCTGCCCTCCCTCAAGACCATCCTTCCCCCCTCCCAAAAGAAAATTGCTTTCATACTTTTTTCTCCCCTGCAATCTAGATTAAGCGACACTCACCAACACTGAGTGAGTGCCACTGCTGATGATACAACCCCAGGGCATGTCCATGATGGCCTGGGCTCACAGAAAGTGGGGGGTGCAGAGCTGGAGCATGGAGAATGAATATGTGCTTGGACAGTTTTGTTGTGCTATATAGCTATATAATGGGAATACAAGTATATAAAAAAGCAAGTTTTGCTTTACGTTCTGCATCTTACCATTTATATTATAATATTACAACAAGCCATTTACATGAAGCTTTCTTGGAAAACAAAAGAACTTTTTATTTTTTATTTTGCTCAACTGATATTTCCTGCAAAAGCAGAAAGCATCCCTATTGCCCAGGATCCAAATTCCAGATGAAGCAATCTTCTTTGTGTCCACTAGGTGGCGATATTTCCCACAAAAAGTCTTAGCCAGTCCATTGCATTCGCTGACCCCATTCCAAACATATTTCATGAATTAAGCTGCCATTTGCAGCATAGTTTCATACTGAAAGTTTTGCATAACACATACCGAGGCACATGGAGGAATCCAATCATTTTCAGATAACTAATATTAAAATTTACACACATCCAGAGCTTTTACCATGCAGTGAAAAAGTAAAACATTTCCTATTTTGCAACTGTAGAAAATGCAACATGCAGCCTCTTAATGGGAAAAATTAGGGTCAGTCCACCCACAGCTGTCCCTATACTGAAGCAGCCTTAGGCGTCATCTGTTAGGGTTACACGGGTGGGGGGCAGCGGATGTGCCTGCTGCTCCCTTTCCAGCCAGAGCGTCCCAAGTTGCTAGCAACCTGTTACACTCTGGCTAGTGAGGACAGTGAGCTGGGCAGGATGCCTGACTGAGGTAAAGTGCACCACCACCACCCAACCCATACCGCCCCCCCATTAACATGTTTAATCTTGCTGTGCACAGAACTGCAAGAAGCCAATATAAAGATATTCAGGGTAGTATTTTAAAAGTTAATGATCCAATTGAAGGGGTGTGGCCTTGCTATGGAACAGAGCACATGGTAACATTTAAAGCTTTGCGCGGCATGGGCCTTACACTTCAGACTCATAGCAATAGAGACTGATTTTCCCTTATGTCCAAAGAATCATGGACCTGGCCAAACGCCTTCAGCCTAAGGGATCCACCACTTCCTTACCCCACAGTTATCAGCTTGAGCCTCACATATGCAGGCCAAGATGATGCCCACTCGACCCTCAGCATTAGTGTCCTTCAAAGAGGAATCTGTCGCTCACCAACAGCCGCACCTGAACGTCAAGAAAGAGAGCCCCACGCCTAGACACACAAGAGTACTTTCTTCCTAAGAATCAGAGTCATCCCATGCTTCACAGCCCCATAGAGCACGAAAGACCCATAGGTCAGGGACCACTGCAGGAAAACTCAACACCCACATTTTGAATTCGCCTTTTAAGCAGTGTCATCCTGTAGACTTCCTGTACCATTATATCAGTCTATAGTTACTGCTTGCAATAGCAAATAGGGTGTAGGCTCTTCCTTTGTCTAGCTGAGACCATAATTCTACTTTATTTGAAATTGCTCCCAAGCAGGCTGGTCTCATCCCCTCACTTGCCCATGCCTTTTCAGCCCATGCTCAGAGTGTCAGATGCCATGGCACTGGGAGGAAGGGGGGGGAGAATACACTCCCCACTATGGCTGCCCTAACAGGTGGACCTGAAATACATAGGGCAGTGATTGTTTAGTTTTCCCTTGCCCTCACACCCTCCTTCCCTCACCCTTTTACTCTCCTTTATCAGCTTTACATTACCTTTGCCCTGCATCTGTAGTCTGGCTCAATCTCGTCAACATGGCCCCATGGCTTTAACCAAGTGACACCTTCTATTTTCCAGCTTACGTCTTCATCTAAAAATGGTTGTGCTTACTTTCCTTGCCCTGGGATATGACCCAGCCCTGCTGTGCTTTCTATAGAAAGACATGACCAAAAAGACTTCAAAAGAAGCAAGAAAATGAGCAGCGTCATCCGCTCTAATGGAACGCAGGAATTTTGTTAAAGGCTGAACGTCAACAAAATAATAAAATACAAATTCACGCAACTCCTTATTAATTAATACAAGGGGCATTCAAAATGTCAAAAAGATATGAAGGAGGAGACACTACAGTGGCTTAGAGGTTAGCACTTCTGCCTTGAAGCACTAGGGGAGCGGCTGGCCAAGATGTCAGCTGGGCATGAGGTGGCAGCTGGCCGAGCTGTTAGCCGGATTGGAGGCGACGGGCGGCCGAGCTGTCAGCCAGGGGGTGCGGTTAGTCGGCTGTGCTGCCACCCCAGAATGAGATGCCGCCTGAGGCTACCGACTCATGCTGCTTCATTATGGGGATGCCCCTGCCTGTTCCAGTCCTGGTCAGGACACTATCTACATGCAGTTTGCATGTTCTCCCTGTGCTTGCGTAGATTTCTGGGTACTTCGACTTCCTCCCACACTCCAAAAGATATGAGGATAGGAGGATAGAGCAGTGCAACAGAGCTGGGATGAGCTCATCACGCTGCTGCAGCTCCTATCACTGTTCAATCACAGGCTGGTGAATGGACAAAATTTGTACTGCAACAGAGGAAAATCAGGTCTCCTGACAGGAGACACAGGGCTGTGCTGCTGTGTGGCAGATCTGTGTAAATCTCAGGACTGGATAGATAGAAGTACAATGAATCAGTAGTGACAATGCTTATAGCCATACCCCTGGAACATCTTCTCCTCCCACAGCCTACATGAGAGTGGCAACTCTGCTCTGAATTCAGGAGCAGTGCAGCATTGTTGCCACCCCACAACAGGAAGCTGAATTAGGTGGACTTCACTGGCAGGGTCAACATATATATGTGAGACTTGCACAGGGACTAAGGGAAAACAGTAACTGTGCATTTATAATTAAGTGCTACAACACATTTTTTGGGAGGCCCTAGTTCCACTTTAATATGGAGTATCATTTAAAATGTACCCCTGCCACTAGAACAAGATGTAGAAATGGGCTATAAAAAGCAGTCAGAATTCTCACCTTACATCTCAGGGTCCTGTATTTAAATCTCACCAGGGTCACTTTCTGCATGGAGTCTGTATATTCTCCCCATTTGTGCAGTTTCTTTCCACCATCTAAAGCCACTAGAAGGACTTTTTCTCAAATTGGTCCCTTAGGTAGCAGAGACTTAAGACTGATGTGAATGGTTTTATCTGTTCTGTAAGGGCTTCGTTTTTACAGCAGTAAAGCCCCATGAATGAGGAACCCAGATAAGCTATATCTCAGCTTCTGGCATTACCCAGCAGAGCAGAGACATAAAAGGTGGCAGCAATATATCGGCAAGATGCAAATCAAAGCAGGAATTAGGCTGCGTATGTCTCCCTGACAAAGGCCATATAACAGCAGCTTCATGACAGGCTTACAAATATCACCTTTGTGCTCAGATAAAAGAATGTAACTCGGCCATTATTACCAGACAATGGAGCAAGTGTCCAGGGTGGTAATCATGAATGACCACGAGAATGACACCGCATCTTCTATTCCTGGAGCCAGGCAGAGACTGATAAGGCTAATTATCATGGGGTGAACAGAAGCATCCTACTGATACAACAGACTACAGCTAGCCATACACACATAGAGGTTGATTTATAAAACTTCTCCCCAGCTATACGCTGAGTGAATGCCATTGACAGGGCATTCTCACCACTAGATGGAGCTGAGGAGCATAGGCTATGTTTGGCAAGCTGGGTGGTGCTGACAAGACCACCTACGACTTGAATTTTGGCTGATTTGTAAGGAATCGGATGAATTTGAAGACGTGTACGCAGTGGTGTCCCTAGCCTAGCTTTTTCACCTCCCGAGGCGGGTAAGGGCAGATTGCTGGGGGGGGTTTGTGCTGGTGCACGTTAACCGGAGGGACGGAGTTTGTAGCCTATGCATCATTTCCCTGCCCAGCTCTGGCTCCGGGCGGTATCCTGCTCAGCTCCTGGCAACCAGTGACATTACTGGTTGCCAGTAGCTGAGCAGGATGCCGGCCACAGTGTCTCAAGGAGGGGAGATGTGTATGGCCCAGCAACCTGGGACACTCTGGCAGAAAAGGGGGCAGCAGGCACACTGCAAAACGCCCTCTGCCCCACCATGACCCAACGAGATGCCCCCTGAGGCAGCAGACTCAGGCTGCTCATTATAATGGCAGTCCTGCGTGTACGGCCAACTTCCCTCCCAATTAATCCATGCAACAAGCTCACTCAATATCCAAAATTGAGATGTACATTTTATTGTTTATGGTCCTCAGCCACTCAGGCTGCAATACTCAGCTTTAATCCAGAGCTATGAGTGCAAGATGTCACAGCGCCCTTCAGCTACAGTGTACCGCCGCCGCTCTCTGCATTACTGAAGGCAGTCTAGACTGAAGCCACTCAGTGCTGGCATTGCGTAAGGAATAGAGTAATAAGAGAGAGTCCTCAACCCTGTGTGAGCTCCATGGCATTAAAGTTTATCTTAAGCCAACATTCTTCATTTTGGACACATTAATAGTGAGAATGGAGCAATTATATTCCACTGAGAACTACAAGTCCATTTGCTGCGTTGGCTGATTGGATGTGTAGTTCTTAATGAAATGCAAGTGCGCTGATGTTCCATTGACACTTGCTCCCAGCCATGTTGCTGAATACGTGTATGTGGAAGGGAGGAAGGGTCTGCAGGAGCCAGAGCATTGCACCCACAATCCACTGATCGCTGTTGCAATGCTTCCAATGCAAAAAAAAAAACTAAAAATGCACAATTTTGTTTTGATGAAGAAATGCACATTTATTAATTTTTTTCTAAAAAAGGTGGAATTTCCCTTCAAACATACAAATAAACTCTGTATGACAGTCACCATTGGCCCAGGGCAATGTACTGTATATGGTTGGCCTTAGCAAACAGCCAGGGCCATCCCTATAGCAAGGCGGACTGCGGCGATATCTCAATGGGGGGCAGCCGGGTGGTGGGGGGGCTTGCCACAGTGTCCCATATAGCCAAGAGCTCTTAGCAATCAGTGATGCTCTGTGCGGCTTCCTGCCCAGCTCACTAAGGTCACCGGTTGGCAAAAGCTGTGCGGGACGTTGGACAGTGCAGGTCGCCAACTTTCTGGCAACCGGTGATGTCAGAGAGCTGGGTGGGATGCCAGACAGAACTGCCAACAATGTAGGCCAGCATCCTCCTCGACCCCCACAACCCCAACGCCCCCCGGAACGACATTGCCTCAGGCGGTGAATACCATGGGGATAGCCCTTCAAAAGAGCCAATAAAACCTGTATGTGGACAAACGTTGTGTAGCTGGCACTCTACCAGGCAATAAACTCTTGGTAAATGGTCTCCTGGGAGTTCCCATGAATGCATATAGGAGGTAGTTATATGTGCCCATTACATATGCATGCTCTGCTTCCTGCTTAGCAGCATTGCACGGTGATTGGGGGAAATTCATAAAAAGTGCAGCAGACATAATCTGGAGCAGTTGCTCAAGGCAACCAATCAGCTTCTCTCTTCAGTTAAGCTTTAAAAATGAAAGACAGGAGCTGATTGGTTGCTATGGACAACTGCTTCAGATTCTGTCTGCTCCAGTTTTTATGAATAGCCCCCCACTGTGTTTTACCGTTCCTTTCTCTAAATACAAATCTATGGGCTGGGTCTGACTTCCGGAAAGGAGTGTGCTTCAGAATGTTAACAGAGCTCATCAAGCAGTCCTTGAGCAGGGATGCTAATCCCATTTCCTGACACCGAAGGCCCATTGGAGGAAAAATTTACCAAATTTGAAACAGGAAAAAGAAACACGGCAGCTAAAAATAGAAAAATCCTTCTGAAAATGTATTTAAATAATGCAGAAATAAGTCAAAACACGAACTCTCTGCAACCGTACAAACATTTCTCCTCTTACACGCCATTCTCCTTATTTCAGAGATAAGGCTTTACTTACAGGGCCCTATTGTTCTCTGTATCCCTGCCATCACCCCCTCGGTCAGACGGGGGAATGCCACAACTCCATGTATTGTGTATTGGTTACATCTTATTAATTTACTACAGGTCAGCCGCTCCGTTGCCACGGGGACCACAAACAATGCAGTCTGGAAAGCAAGACCTTGTTATCATTGACTGTCACTAGCTAAGCTGATTAAGAATTAACAAGGAGAGCCTGCAGACCCGACTTACAGTATGACAACGATCAAGTTTAAAGTGCCTCTCCTGCCATATGCTGACGGGACGCAATTACTCAATGGAGATTATCGGCGTGCCGGACGCAGGTCATTACCTGAAAATATACTAAAACCTGCACAGATTGGGTTACAAGTCCTCTTTGGTGACTGATAACGCGCCACGGTCCAGTGCGCAGAATGCGTGCATCATTAAAGTGCACCTGTTGGCCATTTTAATCCTAAAAGGTCCTAATAGGGGACGCTGCAAGGTCCTGACTGTGTGTCCCTCTCTGATTTAGTTTTCACTCTGATGCTAAGGGCTTGCCTTTCTCTGACTTAAAGTGTAAACTTCACTCCCCGTCTACATTTTCTTTTCTTTCCCCTCATACCTTGTCCACTTGCTTGACTTAAAAAAAAATAAAAACAACATACACACTCAGCATTGTCTGGTGTAATCCACCCTTCCGCCACCAAAATCACGGTCCCGTACCGTCATCTTCTCTTCTTAGGCCACCTGGGGGTCAGCTGTCTCTTCCTGGTTTCTGCAACCTCCCCTTGACAATATGCCAAGGTGTGTCTATTGGTGTAGATTGCCTGGCGCACATATATATTGCAGTGTACATTGCCTGGCACATGCAGAGTTTTGTATAGACTGTCTGGCACACGTGCAATGTGATGTAGAATGCCTGACCCACATGCAATGTGATGTAGAATGCCTGACCCATGTATAGTGCGATGTAGATTGCCTGACACACGTGCAATGTGGTATAGAATGCCTGGCCCATGTATGGTGTGATGTAGATTGCCTGACACATGTGCAATGTGGTGTAGAATGCCTGGCCCATGTAGAGTGTGATGTAGATTGCCTGGCACATGTGCAATGTGGTATAGAATGCCTGGCCCATGTATAGTGTGATGTAGATTGCTTGGCACACGTGCAATGTGGTATAGAATGCCAAGGCATATCTATTGGTGTAGATTGCCTGGCACACATGTATTGCAGTGTACATTGCCTGGCACATGCAGAGTTTTGTATAGATTGCCTGGCACACGTGCAATGTGATGTAGAATACCTGGCCTATGTACAGTGTGATGTAGATTGTCTGGCGCATGTGCAGTGTGATGTAGATTTCCTGCCCAATTACAGTGCCTTAACAGACAAATAAGGTTCACTTTAAAATAAGGTAAAAAGTCAGGCCCCCTAACAACAAACCGAGTAAGAAAGGGGTAGGCAACCTCGGCACCCCAGCTGTTGCGGGACTACAAGTCCAATGAGGCATTGCAAGACTCTGACACAGGCATGACTCCCAGAGACAGAAGCATGATGGTATTTGAAGTTTCAGCACAACTGGAGTGCCGAGGTTGACTACCCTGAGGTAAGGTTTTCTGATTGATGAAGATAAGAGCAGACATAGGGTGACAACGCGAGATGCACCGATACCATTTTTTGGTATTGAGTACCGATATTTTGCTTTCAGTACTCGCCGATACCAAGTACCGAAGCCGGTGCTTCTGCTGGCATGGTGCCAGCTTCCCGTGCAATCAGGAAGCCGGGCGGCGAGTAATGACCCGGCTCCCTAATTGGCCGGGAAGCAGGCTTAATGCTGATTGGATGGAAAGCTGGAGTACTCGCCCAAATACTCAGTATTGGCATCGATACTAGTATCGGTGCATCACTAGTGACAACTTTGGAAATGCATGCAACAGGTTCACTTTAAAGGCCTGTATCCTGGTATCCTGGCTTTCATTTATAAACAATTACAAACGAAATATATTAAAGTTATAGAGTGTACATTTGTTTTTCAATTACTTTTTAAGGATTATGTGAGATTTAGTAACTGGTTATTATAATAAAAGATACATTTTTAAAGACAAATTATATTGTTGCTATATACTGTGTCACGTCAGAAATGTATTTTAGTGTTTGGGTTACAGGGAGGGTTAGTAGAAAAGAATGCCTTAGGGTAGAACATCATTCTTTGCACTAAAAACTACCAGGGCTAATCTCACAGTTCTGGAAGCCAGAGATCGTGTGATTTTTGCCTTGGCTTTTGGTTATAGAAGTTCTGCAACTTTGATAGTAAAGGCAAGAAGATGCTTTTTTTCCTCTTCATACTATTAATTCGATTTGGTATTGATGACATGTTCTCTACTGATTCACGTAAAGAATTCATTGTAACCATCTGTCTACTTTACGTAACAAACTAACACAAGGCTACCGAGTGGCATTAATGTGCTTAATTGACGACATAAGGTATGTAGAGCGAGCGGGTCGGTATGAAAAGAAAACAAAGCCATGGAAAAATCTGCAGATATAATTAGCTTTAATTTGTGCCCAGGGCTCGCCGTGCCTCTCACATACACATCAACGTTAAATCAAATGATACATCCGCCTATTGAGTTCTTAATTGTGATGAAGATGGAATTTCAAGGGATTGTAAGAGGAACTATCATCGGTCACAGGAAGCATTGTGACGAGAGGCAGCTCACCCGGGCTAAATAATTCATGTGATTTCTACACTAAAACAGCAGGTGACTGGTGCAAGGGCCGGTGAAAAGCACACTAAATACCAACAGAACGCGTGCAACGGGAAAATTACACAAAGTATATACATAAACTGTGGAAGAAGAAAGTCATACAATGCACAAAGAACTTACGCCATCCACAGATAGTATATGGCATCCAGAGTTAGTCTTGCGTGATTGTAAGGAGCCATAGTGCAACATTGACACATAACCAACACAATAAAATCTAAATCCACAAACAAAAAATGTCATGTATTGCAGCTTACCAATATATTGATGTGGTGACTTCTTTTCAATCTGGCCTCTGCTCCAACTGAATGCCAAAACCTTAAAGTATAAGTTGAACCAGATCTTTTTTTCTCTTAGTTTTGGGTAGAGTTGGGAAGGGTTGGAACTGCTGGTTGTTTTTACTGCTATCCAGGACTCCATTAGAAAGATCCCCTCACTTCCCGTTACCCTGACAATGGTTTTTACCAAATGAGGGGAAATTTCACTTATTTCATGGACACAGACAGAAATAAAAAGCTGAAATGGATTCTAGCCTTTCCCTCCACCCTTGCGGAAGCAGTTTGGGGAAGGTCCTTTTCAGTATGAATATGATTGTGCCCCAGTAGACAAAGTTAACTCCATAAAGACATGATTTGATGTGCTTGGTATGGTGGACCTAGAGTGGCCTAAACATATTTGGGATAAGTTGGAATGCTGACTGGAAACCAGGTATTTTTTTTTTACAACATCAGTACCTGAACTGACAAATGTTCTTTTGACTTAAAGCCTTATGCAAAGCCTTCACAGAACGGTAGAGCGTTCACAAACGTTTTGTGATACAGTTATTGTGAAGTTTCCTTTTACCCAAAGAGTTAAACAACATGGAAGACTTACTTTGGGCAGTACTCTAATAGCTGTTGCAGTGTAGGAAGATCTCCTTTGGCCGCGGCGTAGTGTACAGGAAGTGCACCTGTGTCTGTTGTCACCATCGCATCGTTTGTCCCGAACCGGAGCAACCAGCCAGTAATTTCATGGTGGCCGAACCTGGATGCTAAGTGCAGAATCGTGGCACCAGAATTGTCCTTATCCTGCAAGAAATAAGAGTAAGCATGGCACTTAGGAAGTTTCAAACATTAAACGAGGTTCGGTAGTTGGCTAGTATAAAAACACAACCCATTTTGTTTAATACACAGATAGGCAAACATGATACAATTATATTGGGTCACTACACCCAAAAGTGATCCTTTGGTATTAGGTAGAGCCTGCTGGGGTAAGTCAGCTCTGGCTTCTTATAGGTCTTAAGGTGCCCATACACGGCACGATTATCGTACGATAATCGTATGCGATCGGTTTTTCGTACGATAATCGAGCAGTGTGAACGGAGACGTGCGACCGTTTCTACTGTGCGGTCGCACGTCTTCTGTCGAACCAGCATGTTCGAAAACCAGCCGGGAATCGTACGATTCTCGGCTGGTTAGAACGGTGCTCGGAAGACAAATGCCGAACGGGCCGGTGTGCGCACGCGCACACTGCCCGTTCAGCATTGCGGTCATCGGAAGCCCGCTCCTCAGGGGGGCGGGCTTGCGATGATCGAGAGTGCGATCTGCCTGTCCAAGATAGGCAGATCGTACGTTTTTTTAATCCCTGTACAACCATCGCAAGACTAAAGTCTTGCGATGGTTGTAGAGTGTATGGGCACCATATAGTAAGATATCCCTGCCACAATTGTTACTGCCTGGGAGTTTGGGGTGTTTCCCCTCTTGTGTGTTCCAGTTCCTCTCGTTACATTCGCCATCATATAAAATTTGTAAAAATCCAAAAAGGATGGGCGAATATGGCCGAAGCACATGTTCACTTAAAAGTCTTCAGGCCCATAAGGGGTGTTACATGTTACAGTTTGTTTAACAGGTAAAAACAGAAAACTCAGTCTAGCTGTCCCTAACCTCTGACCTATCCCTGTCTTAGGAATTAAAAGCAACACTTTACTACAGAGCCAGGCTCCTAGCATGGACAACATTAGGTATCTGATTAATTAAAGTCATGCTAGAAGTTAGGCTTTCATTCTTATTAGTAGCGTCTTCCGGTTTTTGTTTCTAAAACTAAATATGTCTCATCCTGGACTATTCAAACTGTGCAGATAGAAAATACATAAAAAGGTTACCTTCAATGAAAACCATAAGTCAAACTGTTCAGCAGATCAAGAGGTACCACCAGCAACATTGGCCCCATCCCCTCCTAAATCCAAAGCCTCCCTGTTGGTCTTTAAATGTAATGTAATGCAGGCTTCTTTCACCAATAGGGCGCTCAGGAGCTGGGAAACAGTTGTGGCCAAGCTCAACTTTCATATGCACAGCTAAGATCTGACCATATTTTGACCAAAGAAAAAAAAGAGGTAGAATTCTCTTATCATTCAAAATCATTGCAGTGCTGGGATCCGCCTCACTTCTCAGCCTACAGTGAAAACTACATGTTAAGATGTATATCCCCGGAGATAACTTCACTGTTAAGTAATTGGAGTGATTTATCATATTAAAGGACTAATAGTATAGGCTCTACAGGTTCGATGGGGTAAGCCAAGCTCAACTGTTTACAGCAGGGGTGCCCATTAGGTAGATCGTGATCTACCAGTAGCTCTCAAAGCTGATGCTGGTAGATCACAATGGTTGTGAATGGCAGCTCCTTTGTTCCATTTTGGTATATTTATTTAGCTGTGCGCACATGATTACCTATTAGCCTGAGTCTGCTGAGCCATGCTCCCTGACACCTTTCTGGAGGATACTGGTGGATGAAGCGTTATGTATTACATCAAAGAATATTAGTTTACACAGCCCGTTGCACTACACTGTTTGCAAAATACAGCAAGGTGAGCCAGGAGAGATCGGGGAGAGAGCAAGGAGAGACAGCCAGGAAAGAGAGAGAGACAGCCAGGGGAGAGAGCAAGGAGAGACAGTCAGGAAAGAGAGAGGAGAGGCAGCCAGGGGAGAGAGCAAGGAGAGACAGTCAGGAAAGAGAGAGGAGAGACAGCCAGGAGAGCAATGAGAGACAGCCAAGAGAGGTAGGAGAGACAGTCGAGAGAAAACGAGGAATGACAGCCAGGAAGGTGAGCCAGGAGAGATCGGGGAGAGACAGCCAGGGGAGAGAGCAAGGAGAGACCGCCAGGAGAGAGAGAGAGAGAGCGAGGGAGATTTTTTTTCGTTGGTAGATCTCATGTAGCTCGTCATTTGAAAAGTAGATCTTAAACACAAAAATTGTGGGCACCCCTGGTTTACAGGAATGGTTAAAACGTGCATATACATTTAAGCTACCTATTTCTCTGGATCTACTAATTGGTTTGACATCATTGATCATATGCTCCATTACAAATTAGTAGGGCTACAACAACTAATCGATGATTGAAAAAGTTGTCAACTTTTTCAATCATCGATTAATCGGCTTCTGATTGGTTGGCCCTGTTCACGGATCCACACACACTGCGTGCCACACCTCCCGCCCGCATCCACGCTCCACACGCCGCGCCTCCTCCCCGCCGCATGCTCACCGCCCGCCCACATCCACGATCGGCACAGGGACACGGGGGGGGTTTAGAAGAAGTATGGAGGAGCCCAGGTTTAGAAGAAGTATGGAGGAAGACTGCTCAGGTAAGCCTGCACTTTCCCACACATGGTGCTCTATAATGTATTGCTGGGATTTGTATTCCTCTATAGCTGATGGTACATTGTGCTGTATATTATACCATCAGCTATAGAGGACTACAAATCAAGGAATAATACATTATGCAGCGCAATGCAGAATACCACCAGCTATAATGTACTATTGCTGGGTTTTGGAGTCCTCTATAGCCGGGGCCATTCTGCATTCATTGCTGTATAATTTTACACTTTTCATTTCACACCACACTTTTTTTTTTCTTTTTTATTTCCACTGCTCCAAGCTTGCTCCTGTGATGGACTGCAATCTCAATACAAACTAGTAGTCCTATCACTGGAGCCATTTTTTAAAATGTATTTTATTTTATATCCGATTAATCGAACTTAATAAATCGGCTAACTAATCGATTTTGAAAATAATCGTTAGCTGCAGCTCTACAAATTAGCTCTGGGACAGTTTTCTTCTAAAGGAAAAAACTCAGAATCTTAGCTTGTGATCATAACAAGGGTTTTTCTGTGTAGCTGGACAAAGGCAGCTTTGCTTTAAGGTGCATTTAGTTTGTATTTAAAATCAGTTTGAGGAACTTCTCAGCTCCATTTGAGCTCCCTGACAAGTACATGTGACTAGCAGTTGACCTCTTAATGGCCTGCTGTTGACCTCAAAAGTGCATTGACATGCTGCATGTTACTTTGGTATTCTCATTGACTTGTATGTGGAGAAAAGCAGTTCAGACACAAAGGCCCATGCATACAAGTTCTAAGTGAGTAGCTCATAAAGGAGAACCTACTCTAGTGTCTTTTTTCGTAGAAAAAGAAAATATAAGACACTGTCTTATTTTCGGGGAAACACGGTAACGGGATTACCACTACTGCTGCAAGACTTTGTTTTAAAGGATAACTAAACCCCAAAACAACAATATAACAAACAGAAAATACCAGCTTATCTTGCCAGAAATGCCCTTGACACTTAGATAAAGAGATAAACTGTAAGCAAAAATGTTATCTTCCTTCTGCAAACAACTAATCTCCCCATCCTCTATGTAATAGAGATGAAAAAAGGCAGACATGTGTGAAGTCTAGCCTGGGTGGCAACTATGGCTCCCTCCATACATACCATGGCGAAGTGGGCACAGCCACCCTGGGACACCAAGTGTGTTATTAGCAGGATTACCATGTGAAAATAAAGGCAAAATAACTTAAAAAGAAAACAAATTCGGCCATTTAATTTTTATTGGGTTTAGATATGCTACAAAGCCAACACTGCAGTCCTGAGTCTACTCTCTTCTTCTGCTTACAAGAGGTGGGGTACTTCTTCGGGTGTCCACATCACTGTCTGCATGACTTCCTATTGGCTTCCCAACAGTTTGATACTCTCAAAATCCAGAAGAGGAACCTCAGTAGTGCCATCAGCACAAGCGGACCACCGGGGATCAGCTGGCACATGCACATCGACAGTGCTGGATAGGTGGTTCACTGCCCACCCAGAAAAGGATGGCGATGAGAGAGCCAAAATAGCAGACTCAAATGAATATACAGTATTTTACTTCTCAATGGAAGCAAAAAATGTGCAGGATGGGTAAAAAGGGAGTGGGGAGTAAAGGGTGTGTGAGAGTAGTCACAAGATTCTTTGCAACATGCATTCATATCAACTTTCTCTGGAGCATCCCAATTGGTAAACTGTGCAGATCACTGGGATCTCAGTGTACACAGTAGTTGGCACAGTGCCTCTAGTTTGTAATTTTATGACAACAGAAACAAAATTGAGTTGGTTTAGTGTGTTCTACAGAGTGCATTCACTCCTACGTACCTAGAATTTGCAAATATGGTTCTATGGGGGGGTGCCCAGATTTCTTATTTTCTGCACAGGATATCAAACATAAATTTCAGTTCAGTTTAGGAGAGACTTTCGAGGCTGCAATTTGCCATAGAGTCTCTCTAATTGTGCCAAGCTGTTCTGTCCTGCTAATCCCCTGTCTCTCTCCCTCGCCATAGCTTTTTACACAAATCACCTGTAATACTTCTAAGCCGTAAGCACATCACATGCTTTCACCGGGCACCCTTAATTGTGGAAGCTGATTAGCTGCTCATTTGCATTCATTGTGTTTTGTCTAAAGTGGCATTCACACAATGCAGAGGCCTTGGCAGAAGACGCTTGTGTTTTGGCGTTCTCTAGTTTTCCCAGACCACAACATTGCGCACAACCATGACACAAATTCATTATGTTCGACAGAGGCATCGTAAACTCAAACTGCTGGACAATACAACACAATTCTACGTGCATACAAAGAACACTGTACCTACAAACACAGCCAGAGCACTGGACATATTAACAATACATTCTTACTAGGGTGACCAAAGAGGGCCTGATTATTACAAGCAATGTTCTCAATTCAAGCATTACATATGGTAAATCAGACAATAGAGAGTGATAATGTCTTTGT